TAGCATGTGCATCTGAGCGTCCACAAGCACATGCTTGTTTATTTATAGACACAAGCAAATCAAACCACCAGGCCCAAAAAATCTCTTCTTTGATGTCATGTTTGGTTTCCCAACCTTGAATGGATGACCTGACGTGGGCCAGGCCGGAGCCCCTCACCCGCCCGTCCTGTCCCCGTCCAGCCGCACGGCCTCGAGTCTCCGCTGCCAATTCTGGCGTCCACAGACTCTCACCTCCAAATGCTTGGGCAGAGGACGCCACACAAGTAGGGAGAGCTGCACATGAGGCCTCCTCGACCAGGACACGGGAGCGTGCGCACACTGCCACACGCTAAAGCTGCACACAGGAGTGGAGCCAGGTGCACGCCTCCACACACTGAAGCTGCACACGGGAGCGGAGCCGTGTGCACGCCTCCACACGCTGAAGCTGCACACGGGAGCGGAGCCATGTGCACGCCTCCACACGTGAGGGCTATGCCAGGGCCCCCTGCCCCCTCCCCCTGGGCCGTCGGCGGGTGTCCCGCCTGCAGGGGGGAAGCAGCCTGAGCAGGACAGCTGCAGATGCGCAGGTGCCATGCGCCCTCCCCTCCCCTGCGCACCACCTGGGCGGCTGTGGACAGGGGGCAGCTGGGGGGCCCTGACCAGTTCTTACCCTGCACCCAATCGCCTGGTGGGGAGGGGAGGGCCAGGGTGGGGAGCAGGTGGAGTGGGGAGGGGAGCAGGTGGGGAGGAGAGGGGAGTAGGAGGGGGCAAGGTGGGGAGGGGAGCAGGTGAGGGTGGGGAGTAGGTGAGGATGGGGAGGGGAGGGGGCGGGGCGGGGAGCGGGTGGGGGCGGGGAGCGGGTGGGGGTGGGAGGGGCTGGGGAAGGGAACGGGTGGGGAGGGGAGGGGCGGGGGTGGGGAGGGGAGGGGCGGGGGGTGGGGAGGGCCCCCGGGCCGGGGAGGGGGCTCGCAGCGCTCTGTGGAGCCCTCAGGCCTTGCTGGTTGGCCGGGCAGGCACACGGTCCCGCCCCACCTCTGCCTCGAGGGGCCGTCCGCCTGCAGCCCGTTGTCCCCGCAGGCGCTCGGGCCGGGCTGGCTCGGCGCAGGCCGGAAGCGCTGCTCCGAGTGACCACCGCCCCCCCCCCCGCGCCCAGCAGGTGGTCACCGGCCGTGCCCGGCCGGGCTGGGACCGTATTGATGACACGAGGGCCGAGCGGACAGTTTGATCTCTGTGTTCGGAGCTGGCTATAAAGAATCGATGCGGCGTCCCGGGCAGCGTCGGTGATGAAGGGCCCGGCGCGCGGCCATTCATCATAAGTCTGCGGCCGGCAGATAGTCCGGGGAGTTACGGGCCAGAGCGCCCGCTTATCTCCGCGCGCCGGGCGGCGATCGATGCGCCCGCGCCCGCGCCCCAGCGAGGCTTGCTGGCTAATAGCGCCCGCCCCGTCCCGTCCCACAGCGCCCGCGGCCCGGCCCGGCCCCGCGGCCAGGGAGGAGAGCGCCCCGCACCTCGGCGGGCCCGCGGCTCGGCGGAGCCGCCAGGCCGGAACCTTCCTCCCCGGGGCCGGGCCGGGGCGGGGGAGGCCGGCGCACACGCTCGGCAGGCGCGGGGCGCCTCGGAGGTCGCGCAGGGCCGCGCCCCGCGGGCAGAGCGCAGCTTCTCCGGGCAGAGCGGCGGGCCGGGCCTCCGCCGACCCGCGGCTGGGCTCCCGCGGCCGCACCTCGATGGGGTCGCCGCATGAGGGTCTCACCGCCCTGCTGGTTAAAGCTCAAGGACCCGAGCGAAAGCTGGGGGTGCAGAAAGGGCCAAGGAGAACAAGAGGTGGGGAAGGAATGGGGGGCTGACGTGGGGCGCCCGCTTCGCATTGAGTGGCTGGAGGAATAAACCCTTGTTGGTAAGCAGCGCATTCGAGGCCCAGGGCAGCCTGCTGCGGGCCGCGGCCTCGGGGGCCTCCCCGCCTCCCGCACCCTCCAACGTCCCGGTCAGGCCCGTCCAGAAACGACACGAATTAACCCAAACGCCCCTTTACCCGCCACGTTCCGCCAAAGTACAGTATTAATTGGTAAATAATATCGTCAGGCAGACAAAATAATCACAGCCGCCTCCGACGCGCGAGACGGGACAATGAGCGAATTAGGTTTAATGATAGGGGACGCGGGCAACCTTTGTTTTTGCAGCCGAGGTGCGGCGACACGTTTTGGATAGACGGTGGTCACGTGACGGCGCGCGCCCCCGGGGGTCCGCGCGGCCCGGCTGGGGGGCCCGCCGCCGCCGCCCGCCTGCGAAGGGCCCCGCGGCACCGCCGCGGACCTGCTCCCGGGACGACCTGCGGGGGCCCGCGGCGGGATCCCCGGGTCTTCACGGCTCATCTCGGGCCCCAGCCGGGATTCGCCGACGCCTGGGCAGGGCCGGGACTCCAGGCTCCGCGGTTCCCGCTCCGTCCCCTCAACGAAATTCCCACGGCGCGGCCGGCGGGGAGCCCCGGCCCCGAGAGCCTCCTGCTTCACGTCGGGGCAGGCTGCGTGCGCCCCGGCAGGCTGCGTGCGCCCCAGGGTGGCTGCATGTGCCCGGGGCCGGCTGCGTGCGCCCCCAGACCAGGCCCCGCCTTGCGAGCCTGGAACCGCAACACCGTGTGCAGGCCCAGGAAAGACAGGCGAAAAGGTAAGGGAAGTCCCCGGCGGGGCGACGCGGAAGACCGCACGAGGGCCGGGCCTAGCAGCGGCCGAGCCGTCGTGGGCCTTCTTCCCTTCTTCAAACCCCTGAGAAAGGGCCTTTGCTTCTCCCAGTGCGCGCTCAGAAAGTCCGGGAAGGGGGAAGAACCACCGGGATGCATTTGGGGTCGGACCCACTGATGGCCTCCGTTTTCTCCTCTAGAGCTCAGAGAGAGGCCCCTGCCCCCATCCCGGCCGGCCGTCAGTGCTACAGAAACTGCCGCTCCGCGCCCTTCCCCACCGCCGCTCACTGCCCTCGCCCCTCCTCCCCGCTGCTGTGTCCCCCAGCAGGAGCCGGCCCTGCCCCCATCCCTGTCTCCGTGCTCCCGACCCCTGCCCCAGGTGTTCCCCGCCTCCTCCCAGAGCCCGGGCCGAGATGCTCCTCGTCCTCCTCCCCAGCCTTGCGCACAACGCTCCCGCGGTGCTCCCAGACCTGCCCGCGGTGCTCCCCATCCTGAGCCCCAAGGCCCTGCTCGCGGTGCTTCCCGCCCGGCGCTCCCCATCCTGAGCCCCGAGGCCCTGGTCGCGGTGCTCCCCGCCCGGCGCTCCGAGGCCCTGTCCGCGATGCTCCCCATCCTGAGCCCCAAGGCATGCTTGCGGTGCTCCCCGCCCGGGGCCCCGAAATGCGCGCGGCCTTCGCCGAACTCGGCCGCGTGACGGCGGCCCGGCCAGCCGGGGACGCGCGCGGCGGCGCCGGCCCGCAGCTCGCTGCACCCGCCCCGCTTCCAGCTGCCCTTCCCTTTGGAAACAAAATCAGGCGCGCGGCTGTTTTTTCAGCCTCCCTCGTTAGGAAAAGTCTAGAACCTCCATCAGGAAAATAACTGCGAGAGCGGCTCCGGCGCCGCGTCCCGCGCGTCCCCGCGCCACGCTGTTGCCTCCAACGCACCCCACTCCAGGCGGGCGGGGAGCGCGGCGGGCCACTGGCGAGGAACCGAGGGCCGACCAGGGGCGGGGGCTCGACCTCGGCGGCGAGGCCGGGCGCGTTCCGGCGGCGCGGGGCCGGGCGCGCGGGCGCGTTCGCGCGGAGCGGGAGCGCACCGCGCACCTCCCGGAGAGGGCCCTGCCGGCCCCGCCGCCGCGACCCCGCACCTGGCCCCCGGACCCCCGCGCGAGGCCCGGGGACACGCGGCCCGCCCGCGGGACTTGGGCGGACTTGAAAGTTTGGTCCGCGCTCGCCGCCCGCGGGCTCCAGCCGCGGGAACCCCGAGGCCCGCCGCCCCCGCCCGGGCTGCACTTAGGACGCCGCCAGCGGCGGAGAGGCCCGGCGGGAGGGCGGTGCGGGACCGCGGAGCCCCCCGAGGCGGCGGCGGGCGGGGCGGGCGCGCAGGAGTCCGCGGGCCCGGAGGGAGGGGAGACGGGAGGGGGGCGGCGGAGGGGAGGGAGGGGGACCGGAGGGGAGGGGGGAGGGAGGGGAGGAGCCGCGCGGCCCGCGCCGCTTCCGAACCGGAAAGTTGGTCTTGCCGAAGTCCCGCCACCCGGCGAGCGCGCTCCGCTCTGCTCCGGCCGCGAGCCCCGGCCCCCGCGCCCCCGGGCCGGGCGGGCCGCCCAGGAAACCCGCGGAGGGCCGCGAGCCGAGGAGGGCCGGGAGAGAGGGGCGGCGGCGCGGGAGCGGGCCCGGCGCGCCGAGCTCCGCCGTGCCCGGAGGCGGCCGGCCCCGAGCGCGGGCGGCGCGGCGCCCGCACGGCCCGGCCGAGACAAAGGCGCGGGGCCGGAGCCCTGCCCGCGGCCGCCCGCTCCGGGAGGGGCCGCCCGGCGGCGGCGGCGGCGGGGGGGCGGCGCGGGGCGCGGCGGCGCGGACGCCCTATAAAGGGGCGAGCCCGGCGCGCGGGCGGAGACGGCGCCGCGCGGACGCCGCCAAAGTTTGCAGCCCGCGCCTGGCGCTGGGGCGGCCGCCGCGGCCGGCGCCGCAGCCGGGCCACCGGAGAGCGCGGGGCCGGGCGCGGAGCGGAGCGCCGAGCGCGGCCGGGCGGGCGGCGGGGCCCGCGATGTGAGCGGCGCCGGGCGGCGCGCGCCCGGGTCCCGGCGCCGCGGCCCCTCCTCGCCGGCGCGGCCGCTCCGCTAATCGCCGGCGCGGCCTCATTTGCATAGGCCGCTGGAGGCCGGCCAATCGGCGCGGCCCTCGGTAATGGCCGCGCATTATTCACCAGCCTAATTGCTCAGCCCCATGCGCGGCCCGCGCAGCCGCCGCCGCCGCCGCCGCCGCCCCGCGCCCCGCGCCCGCCCGGCCGCCCCGCGCCCGCCCCGCGCCGTCCCCGCCGGCCGCCCCGCGGATGCCGCGGCCCCGCGCGGGCCCCGAGCGCCGCTAGCAGCATGTCTCGGCGCAAGCAGGCCAAGCCCCAGCACCTCAGGTCGGACGAGGAACTGCCGCCGCCGGACGGGGCTCCGGAGCACGGTGAGGGCCGCGCGGCGGCCGGGGGGGTCGGGGCGCCCTCTCCGGACGGGCAGCGCGGGCGGCGGGGAGGCCGCGCCGACCCGGACGGGAGAAAGTTCTCCGGTGCCCGCCAGTAAGTGTCGGCGCCGCGTCCCGGGGTCCGCCGGAGGCGCCAGGAGTTACGGGGCCGAGCGAACTTGGCTCCGCTCCCCGGGCGGGCGCGGGGCGGCGCGGTGCCGGGAGGGACCCGGAGGCGCCCTGTCGGCCCCGCCGTCGCCCGGGCCGGGCTGGGCTCGGCGGCGCCTCCGGGCCGCGCCGGGACCCCGGCCGGGCCCAGCCGCGGGGGTCGCGCCCGGGACTCGGCGCCGCCGGACGCGGGCCGCGAGACCCCCGCCGGGGCAGCTTTGTCCGGCCGCCGTGGCCGGTGCTCGGCGGTGCGCGCAGAGACCCCCCGGGGTCCTCGCCGCCGCCGCGGCCCCGGTCCCGGCGGCCGTCGGTCCCGGCCGGGCAGAGGGGCCGCGGACAGCCTGCGACTCCGCGCCTCGCTAATGGCCGCCTCGGGAGGGCGCGGGCCGGGCCGGCGCTGCTCGCCGCGGGGCTCCCGCGCCTTCCCGGCGGCTCGCGAGGTTCCCTCCGGCCGCGCGGGGCGGGGTTGGGGTCCTCGCCCGTCCTCGGGTGGCAACTTCCGAGCCCCGGAAGTTCGAAACGGGCGGCAGCCGGGCTCCCCGCCGCCCCACGCGCCCGGCGCGAAGTTGGGGGCGCCGGGGACCCGCGTCCTCGGCTCGCCCCGCGGGGTTCCGGGGCGCCGGAGGAGCCGGCCCGCCCGCACGGGAGTCACTCCGCCTGAAGCGAGGGGGAAGGCGCGGGGCGCGGGGCCGGAGCGGGGCGGCGGGGCCCGGGCGAGAACCGGCGACGCGCCGAGGGACAAAGCGCCGTGGTCGCGGGTGTCCGCGGGCCGCGTCTTCCCGGGCGGCCCTCGCCCGCTCGGTGGCGACGCGGCCGCGTGGTCGCTTCGCCGCGCCCGGGTGAAAACCGCCGGCCTCGCTCCGAGAGCCGCGCCCGGCCCAGCCGCGCCCGCACGCGCCTTCTGGGAAGGCGGCTTCGGCCCGGAGCGGGGCCGGGGCGCCGCCGCTCCCCGCCGGCTGCAGCCCCGACGTGGGGCGCGGGGAGCCGCCCGGGGTCGCCCGGCCCGGAGCCCCCGCGGGCCGGGGCCGGGCGCGCGTTCCCACGCCCGCCGCGGGGCGTCAGGCCGGCCGCGCCCCGACCCCTCCGCGGCGGCCGCTGCACGGGCCGGGAGTGTTTGTCAAACGGGACCGGAGCGAGGTGCCAAGTAAACCTCGCCGTCCCGGAGGCCGAGGGGCGGACTGAGCTGAGCCAGGGCGAGGGAACGTTCTGGAAGCCAGGCAGGCGGCGTCCCCGGGCCGCGCCGGGGTGGCTCGCGAAGCCGCGGGTCCATGTGCGTGCGGGGAGCGGAAGGCGGCGGCCGCGCCCGGCCCGCACCGGCCCGCCGCGGGGAGCCTCCGTTTTTATGGCACTTTCCCGGCCGGGCTTCAGGCCGGCAGCGGACGAGGAGTTCCCGGAAACAGCGTTCCTGGCCCGCCGGGGCGGCCGTGCGCGCCAATCCCCGGGTTGCCCTTTTGTGACAGCCGCGGAGGACCGGCCCCGCACGCGCCCCGCCCCGGCCCGCGCCTTCCGCCCCGGGACCGACGCGCTGCAGCCCCGGGCAGGGGAACCCCCGCCGCCGGCACCACCAGCTGGAGGTGCTTTTCCCTGAGAAGTACAAGTTTTTCCGTAAAGTTCCCAAGGCGGCGGCCTCGGCTCCCAGCTGGAAGTTTGGGGTGTGAGTGCCGTCCTGCGCCGCACGAAACGCAACCTCCGGGTCCCAGAAGGAAAGCGCGCACTGGGGAGGGACAAAAGGCCGCGGTGACTGGAAGCAGGGCCGCCCTGCGCGCCGGGTGTTGGCACTCGCTGCCTCCGTGTTTTCACTCAGTGCCAGCTTACAGTACATGGCCGTCTTTAAAGCCCTTTAAACGTGGGGAGCCTGTGACCTACGAATCTGCCCGTGGAATTCAGAGCTTAAATGAGGGAGGGAAGGCCACCAGCCCGGTGGAGAGGTCTTTTTTCTTTTATCTGTAATGCAGTTTCCTCCACCCCCACCCCAGCGCACATTTACAATTCAGCCTACCAAAAGGGACAATGCAGAAGCCACTTTCTATCCGCCACCGGCAGCGTGCTGCCTTGAAACAGGAAAGGTAGAAAGTCAGTAACCTGAGAAAAGGGAAAGCAGGACTTGAAAATACTTTAAAAACAACGCTTTGAAAACCGTTTTAACATGCGGATTTCAGTGAACCACAGAAACGGGTTTCAGCCCAGCCATGCCACAGAGCTGGGGCATTTTTACGCACCGTGCATTTTAAACTTTTAACAGCAAACGCACAAACCAGTATTTTGAGATGTGTTCGGAGCCAGGGAAAGGAAAAGGCGAGGAATAACAGCGGGAGGTACTTAGCAACTGATTATTTTTGTATCTGAGATGACAATTGTGTCCCCTTCACTCAGCCCTAAGCTCCTCTCCAGGAGAGAATGTTTTCTCGCGGGAGGGGTGTGGGGCAGCCACATTACAAGCACGGTTTCTGTTCTGAGCACCGACCATCCGTGGGGAATTAGCATTCTTCAATGTGAGTATTCGCACGGGCTCTTTAAATTCACCAAAGACCTTCTTAGTGGCTAGCAGCATTCTCTGCCACCATTTCTCAATGCAGGAAAATACTCTCAAGAAGCAGAAAATTATTAATTAATTTATCGCTGTTTTACTGGCTTTTCTTTCCCCACATGAACTCAACTGGTTTCCAGAATAAGAGAAACCAACATTTCATTCAGATAGTCTCTCTCATGAAGGTGTGAACTAATTGTACTGCTGGTGGAGCTGCTTTGTAATTACAGCTTATGTTAAGTTGCCACACACTGAAGAAGTCGTCAAACATAAAAGCTACGTGATAATCAAATGCTTTAATATTACGTGAAACTTTTTATTTTAAAAATACCATCAGGATTTTCTTTAAATTTCAACATTGATTTAAGCTGTAGTACACTGCGTGATGGGATTGGTAAGTAGACAGCATGTCAGGGTACAGGAAGCATAGGAAATTAATCGGAATAATACAGTGGATTGGCTGTGGGATGTTAGAGACCAGAAGGATGTGCTTCTCAATTAAAGGAAAAGGTTCTCACGTTTGACACCAAAAAAAGCAGATGACAGCAGTGTGGTGGGCGAGCATTTGCCTGTGTTCCTGTCTTTCCAGCCCTCTTTAGTTCTTGGAGCAGTTGGGAATCTGACCCCTTTGCCTCCTCTGCCCTTGGCGAGGCGTGAAAGCCGTCTGTGTCAATGGGTGTGGGGTGTGTGGGACCTGCAGAGCACTGGCCGGCCGGGCCGCTGTGTCTGAAGGTGGGCCGCAAGGAGGGCTTTGTGAAGCCTGGCTGGCAAACCTCGGTTAGCCCTGCCAGGGGTGGCCACTAGATGTCAAGCTCATAACACAATTAGTGCATCTGCTGTTGACCTTGGCAACAGGAGGCCGCACACTTGTGTTAAGTGTGAACACAGTCTGAGAGTTAACTAGAAATCTTGCAAGTTCGTTCCGCACAGGGCAGCTTATCAAATGCCACCTAGCCCAGCTCAAGTGTTGATGGTTCTCAGAAGAGAACCCCGCTTCCTTCTGAGAACCCGTTTCATTAACCCTGCGGGTGCCGAGGCACATAGTCCTCACCTGGCATTACTGCCTGTCCCTCTCCGTGGCCCTGGCTGATTCTTTTGTGCAGAATCCCAGGCTCTTCCAGGGTGTTTTTCTGCATGGGAGCAAACTTCTGAGGTGACAAGGAGGATGGGGATGATTTAATCCCAGCTCCTGGGGGAGCAGTTGCTGGTTGCCTTTTCCCTGGATACGGCCGGGCGGCAGAGCCAGGGTAGGCTCCGGCGCTGTTGAGATGCAGGCACATCTGCAGCTAGCTTGGTTTCATTTGTGCCGTGGATTTGAAAACGTGTGTGCGCGGTGTAGATGCTTTTCATGAGGCATGCCATCAAATAGGAGTGAGTCACACCAGGGCGATCTTGAAGACCTTACCCTCTGTTCCCCAGCCATCTCATCTCAACCCAAAGTGACTTGACAAAACTCCCTCACCAAATCTGGACTTTTTCTGTTGTTGTTGTTGGCCTCTGCTGACACATTGCAGGTTTCTGTTTCTCATTAGGCACAGATAGCAGTGTGAGTGTGTTCACTGTGCTTGTGAGCACAGCATAGCAGCTGGTTGAAAGGACAATTGTGTGGCTTTGAAGTGCAACAAACACGGCATTCTGGTGCCGAGGGGCCGAGCGCTCACGCGCTGACACTCGGTGTGCCTTGTGCTCGCTTCCCACGGAGACGCGCTCCGTCCCCAGTGCTCACCCACAGCCGAGCACGGCGGGCGCTTGGGGCCTCGGCCACAGGTGGCCGTGACTTCACCAATTTGCGATGTGGGCCACTGAGTGCGTGTGTGGGTCAGCCCGGGTTTGAGCGGAGCAAGGGTGCCCTCCACCGTTCGGCTCCGTGAGCGCACGCGGCCGGGCTGGGGAGGAAGGACAGGATTTCTTTCTATTGCGCCTGGAATTTCTTCTACATTGTTAAACACAGTGGGGGTCTCTATTTGTCTCCTCCTGTGCCGCAGCTTGGGTTCCGTATGTGATAATTCATCTTTCTTTATGGGATTCAAGGCTATCATAAGGAGTTAAAAAGAATTAATTTGCAAGAAAACAAGTGTCTCCTAACAATTTAGGAAAACTTGAAAAATGCTCACTAGATTTTTAAGGGATGTGAAGGTAAGTAGGAAGTGTGATTTCCTGTCCTGTGTGGCATTTTAAAGAAATTAAAGAGGTGAAGTTAACAGGCTTTTTCCTGTGCTAAACCAGTTTAGCCACTCCCTTTGTTAATTGTAGTGAATTAAAAATATGTTACCAGATTGTAACAGAACCAAGTCCTTAGCAAAATTATCCAAGCTCTCTCTGACTACTTCTTTGTAATTGGTGAGCTTATGCACCAGGCGCTGAACTCCTGAAAAGAGAAAATAAAAAGCCTCGTTAGGAGCTGCATTTAGAAATGGTTAAAGCAAGCAGCGTGTCAGATACCCGTATATGCTACAGCAGTGCTTTTCACATGTGACTTTGAAAAGGTCATGGCAAAAAATTTTGCCTGTCTTCTGACACACTGTTCTCTGAAAGATGAGAAGGTGGTACACATGCATTTTCTGACACAGATCGGAATTCAAGCAGAGAGGCTGCGTTAGGGATTTCTTTTATGATGAGCTAATCAAGCCTAAATACCGGATATTTTTGTTCGACACGCTGTTTCGTCTAGGTGTAGAAAACTACATGTATTTTTTTTAATGGCCATGGTGAAGCTTTCCACGTCGAAGGCGGGGCTCGGAAGGCTCCGGAAGGCTCCGGCGTTTCTCCCAGTCCTGTGCAAACCAGCGCAACTCACCTAACGGCACAGACGCGTGGTGCTGTGTAAATAGCAAACACCGATGGCTGCAAATCAACCAAAAATCACCATTTTTCAGCCTCTTTAGCGTGCAGGTGACCGTGGTTGCACGGAGGCCCGGCCTCGGTTTGGTTCCAGTGAGCGGTCAGTTTCCCAGAAGCAGAGAGGAGTGTGGTCCTTTGCTAGAAACAACTGCTTCTGCCGGGACGGAGGCCAGTGGTCGGCCACAGCACTTGGTGAGATGGCTGGCATTTTTCTTGTCGTCTTAGTGCTACCCTTACGTACTATAAAATTCCCTCTCAGCCCCTTGCCTACTTACAGTTTAAATTGCTTAGTTGAAGAACTGGAATGCAAAAAAAAAAATTAATTGGACGCTAATGATAATGTTTACAATGCTTGTTTTTTAATTCCTCCCCTTAAAGGAAAGGAAAATTTAATTGGTAATAAATTTCTCATTTGAGATCTTCTCCCTGACAAAATTTTTACCTTGAAATAAAAATTCTGAGCCATATTAAGCAATGAGTGTGATAACTTTTAGTTTTAGAGCATAATAGCCAGTTCAAAATGCAAGTTTAATTAAAAGATTGGTTAAGTGCATTTTAAGTACATTTGAGTGTGACACAATACTTGCTTAAACTAAGATGGCAGGGTTGAGGGGCTGTAGCCGTGATAGGACAATAGGTTTTTTTGTTATGGAGAACACAAAAATAAATAATGTGCAGTTAGATGCTGTATTCTATGCCTTGCTCTGTGCCTTTAGTAATTGAAATGAGAGCCACAGAAGCAGGTTACACAGATCTCCTTCCTTCTCTATGGAGTGCATCAGAGTCAGCACCTGGACCTGTGCTCCACCAGCACCCACTGCCATTCTTTGCGCCCCAAACCACTTCCTTTCAGTCCTTGCCCCGTAGCAGTTTATTTCCACATTGGAAATTAGTCTTCCATTTGTATTCATGGTCATCGCGACCGTCTTAAGAAATGTCTGCCTACCTGTAGCTTTTATGGAATGCGAGTCCCTTTCAGATGTCGAGCACACATTGTCCTTTGAGCATGGAAAATAACAATGGAGGTCACCTTAATATATTGGTGTTTTTATACCAAGCCTACTGGAAATTACAAGTGGCGACTCTCATTCTGTAAGATATGTGAATTGGAGATTTTTTCCCCCTTCACTAGCTGTAGTTTTTTAGATATTTTAGGAAAAAAATTATGAATGTTTTCTTATAAATAAATTTTTACTTATTTTCATTTCCTTCAGTTCATTAACATAATGAACTCTTACCAGGTCAAAATGGTCAGAACGCCATTTTTCATCATTTCCTTTAGTTTTGAAGGACTACAGATAAATGATTATTGTGCTTTGAAAAGCACTTCTCCTTCAGGTTGGGGTTACCATTAAAACTGCATTAAACAAAATGGCATTATCTGACAGAGTGCTTCAGTGCTCTGTGCATACTTCCCACCGATCAGAAGCAGTTGTAATTTAGCATCCTTTCAAAGGGAAACATCGAAATGACCAGAGGGGAACTGATCCAGATTCCATGCATCTACAAGTGAACCCTAAAAATACTTAGCACATAAAAAACACTAATGGGAATGTGAAAATGCAAATCTTTACGGCAAACAGATTTGTTTGGGTCAAGACCTTCCAGAAAAGCAGGAGATCTTTGTGTAAAACAAAGTGTTTCTCTGTGTCACATGCTATAGTTTGTTACAAAGAAAATCTGGGGAATGTTCATTTGCAAAGAGAATTGCTTACAGTTATGTAAATTAATTCAACCCTGAACTCACTTTTAGTGATATCGTAGTCAGCTCAACTTTCCAGCATTTTCTCAGGAAACAACTATCCCTAATGCATGTTCCAAATTTAAAAAAAAGTTCTTGTAATAAGCTTTACATACTTTGATATTGTAAAATTTAAAGTTTATAAACCATGTGAATGATTTGGCATTGTGTAAGCTGTATATTTTCCCTCCTTTAAGGAGTTACCTACAGCAAAACTTTCAGGGAATAGGAAATTTTAACTTGAGATTTCATTTTTAGAAAGTATTTAAAGTAGTTGTCTATTATAAGTTTAAAATACTGGAAAACAACTTTTTTAAATGCTCGTTGTTATTTGTGTATGCATTTGGTTATGAAGATGAGCTTTGTTTAATGCCCACTTATTTTAAGAGGTGAGTCTGAAGAACATTCCACAATTAGAGAAATTTGAAAACAAGTTCTTGGCATTTTGTAAAAAAAACAAGTGGAATTTCAGACGGCCTCTTATTCACACCTCCCCATTAAGAAATTCTTTATTTAAAGATTTTAGGCATTTTTCTCCTGTTCCCTAACCATAGCAGGTTTGCAGTTAGAGTTTGCATACATTGAGCCAGTTGAGTGGAGGCCATTTGTTTTGTTAATGCGCCTATCCGCTGTAGGATCTGCAGTGTCTTTGCTCCCAGCTACCCTCAACCTCATTACATACCTATTACATTCCAATGAGGCCTCCCCGCCGGCCTCGCTCTGAATTTAGTTAAAGGTGCCGGGTTCCTGGCCAGCCAGGGAAATGCTCCTGGCATGCTGCTGCCCAGTGTCTGGGTAGCTGGGGTAGCGGCCTCGTGGAGAGCCCACCCAGGCCAGGACAGCAGCAGTTGGCTTCCGTGGGCGCTAAAACCCAATGCTCAGCTGAACTCGGGGCCCAGGGGAGAATTGGGAGACGTTATTACTATGTCATCGTTATTGTTTTATTATTATCATGATTCTATTGTATTATTATCATTATGATGTTGTTGTTATCATCACTGTTTTTAAGCAGGCTCGTGTTAGAACAGCCAACCGTCTCCGGACCGGCCGGAGGACTTTGGCACCGAGGTTGGCCCGTTCCACAAAGGCCGATGGGTCACTGTCACCCACTGCCAGGACCAGGGGTGCGGGCACAGCACCTGGCGGGCACGCAGGACCGGGGGTGCGGGCATAGCATCTGGCGGGCGCAGCACCTGGCGGGCACAGCACCTGGCGGGCACGCAGGACCGGGGGTGCGGGCGCAGCACCTGGCGGGCACGCAGGACCAGGGGTGCGGGCATAGCATCTGGCGGGCGCAGCACCTGGCGGGCACGCAGGACACGGGGTGCGGGCACAGCACCTGGCGGGCACGCAGGACCAGGGGTGCGGGCGCAGCACCTGGTGGGCGCGCAGGACACGGGGTGCGGGCACAGCACCTGGTGGGCGCGCAGGACACGGGGTGTGGGCAGGCCCGGCGATCCCGCCCAGCGCCCGCGTGGGGTCGTCCCCAGGCGCCGTGGGTTGGTCAGGGGCTGCCGACGGCACTGCGCGGGGGAAGCGCCGCAGCCACGCGCAAAGCCCGTTCACTGCGGGCCTGGCCTGAGCCGCCCTGTTCCCTTCCGGCGGGGGGGGGGGGCGTCCCGGGGGTCCCCGCGTGGGCCCCGCGCACGGGGAAGGTCACGGCCCGGCCGCCGTGGGGTTTCCTTAAGGAGCAGCCGGGGGGGCGCGGGGGGGGGGGCGCGGCCCCGCACGCAGGCAGCGCTGACGGCTGTGCTTGTCCCGCAGGCCCCGGGGACGGCGCGGAGGACGCGGACAGCGGGCACGACAGCCGCAGCGGCGGCGAGGAGACCAGCGTGTGCGAGCGGTGCTGCGCCGAGTTCTTCAAGTGGACCGACTTCCTGCGGCACAAGGAGAGCTGCGCCGAGCACCCGCTGGTGCTGATCGTGCGCGAGGATGAGCCCGCCCCGCCCGCCGACGACCTTCCCGAACCTTCTCCCGCCAGCTCCCCGGGCGGCGAGCGCGCCGACAGCGAGGCGGCCGCCGAGGAGGCGGGCGCGCCCGAGGCGGGTGAGGGGAAGGCGGCGGCCGCGGAGGCCGAGCCCATGGACGTGGAGGCGCCGCCCGCCGAGCCGGGCCCGCCGGGCCCCGCCGCGCCCGCGCCCGCCGCGCGGCCCCCCGCGCCCGCGCCCGCCTTCGGCGTGCCCAGCACCAACGTGACGCTGGAGACGCTGCTGGGCACCAAGGTGGCCGTGGCGCAGTTCTCGCAGGGCGCGCGCGCGGGGGCCGCGGCGGGCGCGGGCGCCGTGCCCGCCATCCTGGAGCAGCTCGTGGCCCTGCAGCAGCAGCAGATCCACCAGCTGCAGCTCATCGAGCAGATCCGCAGCCAGGTGGCCCTCATGAGCCGCGCGCCCGCGCCCGCGCGCGCCCCGCCGCGCCCCGCCGCGCCCGCGCCGCTCCAGGGCCCGGCCCCGCACGCCACCCTGCCGCTGTCCGCGGGCCCGGGCCCCGCCGCCGCCCCGTCGGCGGCCTTCGAGGGCCCCCAGGCCCTGCCCGCTGCGGGCTCCGGGGGCCCCGCGGAGCCCGGGGCCCTGGCGGCCTCCGCGGCCGGCCCGGGCGCTGCGGCCTCGGCCTCGGCGGCGGGCGGCGCGTCCCAGCCGCAGAGCGCGTCCACGTCTCCGGCCCTGGCCCCCGGGCCGCCCCCAGGCTCCGGCCCCGGACTGCCAAACCCCCTGCTACCTCAGACCTCGGCTGCCGGCGGCGGCAGCAGCAGCGTCATCTTCCCCAACCCGCTGGTCAGCATCGCCGCCACGGCCAACGCGCTGGACCCGCTGTCGGCCCTCATGAAGCACCGCAAGGGCAAGCCCCCCAACGTGTCAGTGTTCGAGCCCAAGGCCAGCGCCGAGGACCCCTTCTTCAAGCACAAGTGCAGGTTCTGCGCCAAGGTCTTCGGCAGCGACAGCGCGCTGCAGATCCACCTGCGCTCGCACACCGGGGAGCGGCCCTTCAAGTGCAACATCTGCGGGAACCGCTTCTCCACCAAGGGCAACCTGAAGGTGCACTTCCAGAGGCACAAGGAGAAGTACCCCCACATCCAGATGAACCCCTACCCCGTCCCCGAGTACCTAGACAACGTGCCCACCTGCTCGGGGATCCCCTACGGCATGTCGCTGCCCCCTGAGAAGCCGGTGACTACCTGGCTGGACAGCAAGCCCGTGCTGCCCACGGTGCCCACGTCCGTGGGGCTGCAGCTGCCCCCGACCATCACAGGCACCCACAGCTACAGCGACTCCCCCAGCGTTACCCCTGCCAGCCGCTCCCCACAGAGGCCCTCCCCTGCGTCCAGCGACTGCATGTCCCCGGGCCTCAGCCACGTGGAGTCTGGCCTGGCGGGGCCGGCCGAGTCTCCACAGCCGCTCCTCGGCGGGCCTGCTCTGACGAAAACTGAGCCGGTCAGCCTGCCCTGTGCCAGTGCCAGAACCGGAGAGGCTCCCGTGGTGGCAGGGCAGGTGGGCGGACTGCCCACATCCTCGGCCACCACCGTCACGGACAGCGCCTCCGCGAGCCTGGGCAGCCCCGGGCTTCCTGCCGTCTCTGACCAGTTCAAGGCCCAGTTTCCCTTTGGTGGGCTGCTCGATTCCATGCAGACGTCGGAGACCTCGAAACTGCAGCAGCTGGTAGAGAACATCGACAAAAAGATGACCGACCCCAACCAATGTGTGATCTGCCACCGTGTGCTGAGCTGCCAGAGCGCGCTCAAGATGCACTACCGGACGCACACGGGTGAGCGGCCCTTCAAGTGCAAGATCTGCGGCCGTGCCTTCACCACCAAAGGCAACCTGAAGACGCACTTCGGGGTACACCGCGCCAAGCCGCCCCTGCGCGTGCAGCACTCCTGCCCCATCTGCCAGAAGAAGTTCACCAACGCCGTGGTCCTGCAGCAGCACATCCGCATGCACATGGGCGGGCAGATCCCCAACACGCCGCTGCCCGATGGCTTCCAGGACGCCATGGACGCCGAGCTGCCCTTCGACGACAAGAGCGCGGAGACGCTGAGCGGCTACGACGACGACATCGATGACAACTCCATGGAGGAGGACGCGGAGCTCAAAGACACAGCCAGCGACTCGTCCAAACCGCTCCTCTCCTTCTCGGGGTCTTGTCCACCCTCGCCCCCCTCGGTCATCTCCAGCATTGCCGCCCTGGAGAATCAGATGAAGATGATCGACTCGGTCATGAACTGCCCGCAGCTGGCTGGCTTGAAGTCCGTGGAGAACGGGTCCGGGGACAGCGACCGCCTGAGCAACGACTCGTCCTCAGCTGCGGGAGACCTGGAGAGCAGGAGCGCCGGCAGCCCCGCCCTGTCCGAGTCCGAATCCTCGCAGGCACTGTCACCCGCCAACAGCCACGGGGAGAGCTTCCGCTCCAAGTCCCCCGGCCTCGGCGCCCAGGAGGATCCTCAAGAGATTCCCCTCAAGACAGAGAGGCCCGACAGCCCGCCCGCCGGCCCCGGGAACGGAGGCGCCCTGGACCTGACGGCGGGCCCCCCCGGCCGGCCGGCCATCAAGGAGGAGACCCCCTTTGGCCTGCTGTTCCTCAACAGAGAGCGCGGTAAGTGTGCGAGCACTGTGTGTGGTGTCTGTGGGAAGCCCTTCGCTTGCAAGAGCGCGCTGGAAATCCACCACCGCAGCCATACCAAGGAACGGCCGTTTGTCTGCACGGTCTGCAGGCGGGGCTGTTCCACTATGGGTAATTTAAAGCAGCACTTACTGACGCACAGATTGAAAGAGCTGCCTTCTCAGGTATTTGACCCCAACTCTACCCTAGGTCCCAGCCACAGCACTCCTGGCCTGGTCGCTAGTCCCACGCCAACCATGATCAAGATGGAAGTGAACGGTCACGTCAAGGCCCCTGTGCCGGGTGAGGGTCCGCCCCCACCCCTGCCCGCCGGAGTCCCGCTCCCTACGGGGCCCCAGGCCGTGATGAGCCCCGGTCTGGCACCCATGCTGGCCCCCCCGCCGCGCCGGACTCCAAAGCAGCATAACTGCCAGTCATGCGGGAAGACCTTCTCCTCAGCCAGTGCCCTGCAGATCCACGAGCGCACCCACACCGGGGAGAAGCCCTTCGGCTGTACCATCTGCGGCCGGGCCTTCACCACCAAGGGCAACCTCAAGGTAAGAGGGCCTCCACTTTAGCCGTGGTGGTGCTGTGAGCCTCCGCCCGCCCGGCTGCCATAGAGACGGCTGTCACCTCCCCCAGGGCCCTGGCGGGGTGTGAGGCACAGGTGCAGAGGTTCCGTGCGTGTGCGGTGAGGCAAGGGAGTGAGTCTTCCTCGGTGTTGTGTGGGTGCGTGGCTGTGCACACGTGCTCTCTCTGTACGTTCCGTGAAGCAGTAGAGAGGGGAGCGGAGGCCCGGGCTCCATGCAGCGGTGCGGCCATCCTCCCCTCCGACAGCCTCCACCCTCCTGAGTCCTGGCATGGTGGCTAACTTGGCCTTAAAGCACAAAAAATACACAGACAGTACAGGGGTGAGGCTTGCTCTGTGACTTCTGGAATGACCCATTGCCTGTGTCGCTGCTGAGAGGACCAGTGGGTGGGTGAAAAGCTTCTGAGCACTTTGTGGCCTGGAGAAAAAGAGACACAGGAGTGTGGGTCTACGTAAGACCACCGTGGCCCTGTCCATCCTCCTGGAGGACCCCTGGCCAGCATCGCTGCTGCACTGTGCCTGGGTCTGTCTCCCGAATGCAGGAGCACCCACCGAGACCGCCCGTCTGGGCCTCAGCAGACCGCAGGGGCAGCCAAAGGCCAGTGCCTGCGGCTCATGTAAAAGCCGCCTGCCGGCTGCGTTGCTGCCAGAGGCCCCAGTGCTTCACAAGTGAAGCTTCCTCGTGTGAGGCAGCGAGAGGAGAGGGGCAGTCACACCGTTCTCATTCCAGAGGTCTGGGGGTGGCGGGGGGGGGGGGGGGCGGGTAACCAAACCCAGGACAAGGCCTCTCATTCTTGAAGTTCTAGAAGGTTCTCTGGTGACCTTCTGGGATTTGTATTACGAGAGGGACCGCCTTATCAGAATTGTTAACTGAGAGATCAGGTTCATTAGCTTCCTTGATGGTTTCCTTGCTGGATTTATAAGAGGAAAGGCCGCAGCATGCTCAGGAACGTTTGTCCGCGCGCAGCGGCGGACGGGGCGCCCTGGTGGTGCTGGCTCACTGGCCGGTGGCTTGTCTCCGTGTCTCGCGCAGGTACACATGGGGACGCACATGTGGAATAACGCACCCGCGCGGCGTGGCCGCCGCCTGTCTGTGGACAACCCCATGGCCCTGCTGGGCGGGGACGCCCTCAAGTTCTCCGAGATGCTGCAGAAGGACCTGGCGGCCCGGGCCATGAACGTGGACCCCAGCTTTTGGAACCAGTATGCGGCCGCCATCACGAACGGGCTGGCCATGAAGAACAACGAGATCTCCGTCATCCAGAACGGAGGCGTGCCCCCACTCCCAGTAAGTCTAGGCGGAGGCGCCATCCCCCCCCTGGGCGCCGGGACCGGCACGGTGGACAAGCTACGCACGGGCAGCAGCCCGCCCATGGTCAGCCTGGACAAGGCAAGCTCCGAGGCCGGAGCCGGCCGGCCGTTCACCAGGTTCATTGAGGATAACAAGGAGATTGGTATCAACTAGCGGCCGGCACCCGGGCCCTGCCCGTCCGCTCTGCCCCACACCCACATTTTGCAGTTTGAGCGTCAGGCTTCGGACCCTCTATCCTAGATTCTCATGAACATTTTACTCATGGCAGAATGTACTTTCACCGTGTAGCTGCCAAAAGGTGGTCTGGTGAGCGCAACAGGGGTTCTGACTGTTAAGAACCCCGCAACCTTCTCCACAAACCCCAGTCTCCAACAGGGCTCAGAAAACTGCCTTAGGAACAGAGAGAGCTCAGACCATAGCCAACCTTGTTACCCTCTGAGGGAGCCGTGCCCCGTGGCATCCCAGCCAGCCCCCTCCCGCAGATCTATTCCCGTTAGATAGGAACTTGAACTATGTTTTAGGAACTCTTCGTCTCAAAGGAGTGGTTTGGTGTTGCCACTGCTGTGTATTACGACCGTGTCTTTGTCGGTAGTATTTATAATGTTAAGATAATGCGGGTAACAGACAATAAAATAGCCCAACTTCAAATGAAGCTTTTGTACTGCAGAATACATCTGGCTATGTGATTTTTTTTTTTAAAGCAAGACTTGTGTTACTATAAGTACGAGGATTATCCAGTGCAGGCAGGGTTGTGGCGCTCTGTTGGGAAAGATCGCATGCTTCTCCTGTGCGGGTGCCTGTCCTGACGAGCCTTCCCTCCCTCCGCTCCTTTTTTAATTTAAGTGTTTGTAGCTGCTCTGTGAACAGTTGTTTTTGTTTTTGTTTTTTTCTGGTTTGGTCTGTAGCCCGGCGATTGATGAGGGAAGGAGCTACAGACAAACGTCACCACTCACAGCATTATAAACAGTTGTGAGTAAATATTTCACATTATCAAAACTGTACAATAAAAAGGTAATGTTTGTATAATGTGGTCGCAAACTCTTAATTTATATGATTGCACTTTTAGTATTTTGTAGTAGGGAGGTTTGTCTATAATTTGAAAATTTAAAAAGAAGTGTTTTATAAATAGTACTTTGGTTTAAGGGAGCTGGGGGAAGCAATCCTGTTATGATTTGTTGTCCTGAGGTAGACAACATGAGAAATCTATGCTACGCCAGCAGCAAAACCACCCAGACTTGTCAGCAGCGCCTCAGTGCAATCAGGCCTGCCGTTCCTCAATTCACAAGATTGATTTAACTTTTCTGCAAAGCCCATGTAAGAGCTGTGACAAATCTAGGACTGTGACGCTGGTCTAGGCTAGGAAATAACTAGAAGAGCATTGTGTAAGTGTGCGTCTACCACCGGCCTCCAGCTCCTTCAGACACACATGTGCACACACAGGCACACACACATACACACAATCTGCCTGCCTGTGGCACTGGCTAGTGTATCAATAAATGAGAGCACAAGCAAGCGTCTGGCAGTGTGATCAGTCATAACTTAGAAATTCTCATGGTCTGTGTTTGAAAATCAAACAGCACACTGTCTTCTGATGATTGAGGGTACAATCTTTCCCCTGATGACTGTCTGAACTGTGCTGCAGAGGTCAGGAGCCGGGAGGCGGGCCCAAATCAAAACTTGAACGTCAGTGTTGTGTGTACTACCTCATTTTGTGTGTCGGAAGCATGGGAGCTGACGCCACGAACATCAAACAACAGAATTGCCTGAGAGATGTTGTAGGTAGCCGGGTAACCGTGAGAGGGGCTGTCGGCTCCTGAAGACCAAATCAGACAGTGAATCTTCTCATAGGAAACAAAAATAGAACAGTCTTGTAACACAGCTACCGCAACACCAAAAGGCGCTGTGGGAAAACAGGCTGCTTCTGTCGACTTGTTGCTGAGCCAAGTTTCAAAGGCTTGTTAGCTGTTTGTTTCTTTGAAGTGGACATGGAACTCTAGGACTGTTTCTCACATGGTCAGGCACGGTGGCCAACCGGGCCACCTCCTTGGGGTGTCTGGTAGCTTCAGTGTGGGGGAGAAACACAAGGCGGCCGGCGTTACTACCGGGCTCCAGCAGCGGAATGTTTTGTTATTTATGTCCTTTTGCTGTGAAGGTTGGTATTTAGTACCACATTAGTGCTCTTCCTTCTCCCAAAAGGATGTGTATATCAAAAGGATGTATATATAACGGAAGAAAAGAGAAATGTACAGTGTAATAAATAAGATGGCTCATGAAGTACATGCAGACTGGCTCCTCCGGGCAGCTCCTCCTGCGTGGTAAAGAGACACTATTTTTATATTGTAGTTCCACGTAGGGTGAGGGCCGTCCTGAGAGACTGGGGTTGTTAACCTAGATCCAATATTTTTTATGATCAATCTTGTGTGACACATCCACTGACTGAAATGGATGTCCTGGTCTCGGGTTCTGTTTTTGTCAGCTGGAACCGAATAAAATGCAGGATGTACTATTTCTGAGTTGCGTTCCTTGGTTCTTACGGAAAAGTGGAGTTGGAGGTGCTGGTCTCTGTCAATGGCTCTGTGTCTGTTCTGTTTCCATAGAGAAAGTTAACAAGGATTGACAGTTGCGAGATAAGCAAGTATCGAGGAGCATTTTGATTGGCCTTGGTTTTACACTGTTGCTTCGCCTTTTGTGGTGCTGGGAATGGAACCCAGGGTCTCACGCATACAAGGCCAGTGCATGGCCACAGCCACCTCACCCTTGCTTTTGGATTTTCTTTTTGGGTGGTGGTTTTTTTGCACTTTTTTCCCCAAATAAAAATGCATCCTCTTAATTGAAATTTTTTTGTTTTTGTTTTGATCATGAAAGAAGACACAGTAGGCAACTTAGGAATTGCCCCCTCTCCCCTCCCCAGCCTTGGTGGTGTCAGACACACTGGGACCCCAACTTCCCATCAGCATGTTCAGGTCACTTGCACAAACAGATGTGCGTCAGATTTTGTTCTGGGAAAGGGGCGGGAAGGTGTTCAGGAGGAGTGGCCGCAAAGGCCCTGCCGCGGCTCACTCCAAATGGAGGACATCCTTTACTTTAAAATAAGCGTTCTCTCACAGATGACACTTGGTAGGATGTAACTTTAAATAATCAATAGCTCCTGGGCTTTATGATATATAACCCTTTCTTTTAAAAACCAGTCTTTAAATAACTACTGATATCTAGAAGCCACCATGATTTTTATCTGGGAGGCAAGATTTTAGGAACGATAAAGGCACTAACCACAAAGCTAGGTGGCCAAGCCAAACTTGAGCAGGTTCCATAGCCTTAGAAATTAAACCATGCTGACTTCATTGCTAGAGTAGAATTACCTAATACATGCTCACTAAATCAGATAGTAAAAAAAAAAATTTTTAAAGGAAAGAGCGAAGATTCATCAGCCATTTAGAACAATTGCTGTAAGTTCAAATGCAGAAGAGATGAGATTTATTTCTTCCATTTCAAAACTTTTCAGACATAAATTAGAAGGTGATTGGGCCTAACAAGCATGGGTGTCTGTCTGGAACAGCCAACACCGTCACTGAGACTGAGTCAGAGAATCATAAGAAGCAGGGACCTCCAAAGTTATCCGAATACATTTCGGGAACTGTGAACATTTAAAGCTAATTAATAGCAGTGCTAAAGGGCTGAGCGGCGATTGTTTTCTAACTCTCCCTGGAGGCAGGAAGGCACGGGTTCCCACCTGCTTTTCCCTCCGCGTTTGGCAGGCAGCGCCGGTCGCCACTCTGTTTTACAAGCTGCGGCAGGCACAGGGGCATTTCTTCATTACTGGGCTGTGTTCTTTCAGGCACTGCGTGTTCGTCGTCTGACGGCAGAAGTCCGAGCTCATTTCTTTCTCCTGGTGCAGGCAGGCAGGGTGGCGGTGCTGCAGACCACCGCCGGCCCGGGCCTGTCTTCACCTCTCCCTCTCAGCCTGCAGCCCAGATTGCAGCTCTGTGTGAAACACATGTGCATTTTCAAATTACCAGTGCTGAGATGGGGAGAAAGCACAGAAAAGTTTCCATCCACAGGTCCTTTGGTGATTTTTGGCAGTGTACACAAAATTATTCTATATGGTGGCAAGGGAAAACAAAAATCTCCCTTTTTTCACTTAAAAAGGAAGCACTGGTGTTGGTTAGCAGCATTCTTTACAATGGGAAGCTTTAATGTGAAATCAAAGAGACGTATTCCAGCATTTTCGTACCAAGTCAGAGGCTTGAGCAAGGCCTGGACTCCCGTGGCCTCAGGTTAGCCTGTGCCTCCAAGGTCCAGCTGGGCGCCCGGCTGGCGGAGGCCACCGCCCTCTTCACTCCCAGCCTTATCTGTACCGAGAGGCGGGATTTATCACTGCTGCTCACGGCCACCTCATCCGTAATGTTAGTGGGCAGAGTCATCGTCCGCACTCGTACAGAGAAGAAATATGAACAATTAAGACTGTTCCATATGAAAAATTTATTATAAAAGACTGCTAAAGAACTGTGAAGTCACTTTGGGACCATGAAAAATGTGTTTGTATCCTTGATTTTTAAAAATTGAACTTATTGATGCTTTTTAAAAATGCAGCTATACTGAAGGTAAAATAAAATCAAGCTGTGTGACCATTGTGCTCTCTGTATTTTCTGTTAGGAGATTTGTTTTCAAGACTTAATTTTTCTGTGTATTAGGCAGGTGGCACACCCCACCCCCCATAAAGATGATACACACGTTCAAAGAGCATGCACGTTAAAGCAGTGGTGATTTCTTAACTGTTTTGTGTAAAATGGTAGAGAGCCCACGCTGCCATCACTGGTGTTGCTGGCCTGATTTATGAGTGTCTCCATTCTGTTTCTCTGCAAGCGTGGGTCTTGTCATTCAGGTAGGCTGCTCAGAGTTCACTGGGTACGAGGATAATCTCGAGAGATCAGGAAGGTGGAGACACTAGAGGTGTCGGAGGGACTGTTCTGTCCCTGGTGAGTGGAGAACTTGGGAAATGAAGACCCTGATTATCAGTATGAATTGCTCACTGTGTATGACTCCATCATGGAGATAAATGTTTGATTGCAGTAGTTCCCAATGTGATTATTTGTGATTATCTGTCTCCCACCCACGCCTTCTAAGTTGGTGTGACATACATGTTTTAAAATTCTAGAATGAACTGTAAACTAGAATTTTCTCAGAGAACTGTGAGTCATCTCCGTCATTCTCTCTGTCCC